CAGAAGTTTTAAATGTATTGATAGCGAGTTAAAAGTTCCCAGAAGTTTTAAATGTATTGATAGCGAGTTAAAAGTTCCCAGAAGTTTTAAATGTATTGATAGCGAGTTAAAAGTTCCCAGAAGTTTTAAATGTATTGATAGCGAGTTAAAAGTTCCCAGAAGTAACATTACAGTACTCTAATTATGTACCCAATTAATTATCATGTTTACATTCAACAGTTCAAAAAGATAAAATAAAATCTTGTATTTATGGTTACATAAAAAACTAACTTAAATTCTAACTATCTCTATGAAGAATTCTGAAACAATATAATTTTTTTAATAATTATTAGAATGACAAAAACTGTTACTAGGAAAACAATGACACTGATCCCCCCCCCCTTAAAAATGATTTGCAGCAAAAAATTATCTATTTTACAAATACGAATTAAAAAATATGTAATTTCTTTAATTAATGGACAATTTTTTTATTCATGTTTCAATACTTTTAGTATCACATACTTTTGCTATGTGTTCCAACCATCGTCCAAGTGAAATAAACACCAACAGCATTGGTGGAGTCTCAAAAAATGTTTTTGGACTGTGATCAGCTCCATCTATCATGAAGTAAATCAGAACTGCTACGCTATAGAAGTAGGCAATATTTGTGGCCAGCATAATAAGTACATCCATGTTTGCCATTCTGTGTTTTATGGCTTTCAAGGCATGGACGTAAAAATATCGTCCTCCTATGAACTATGTATAAAATAAAAGTCAATTTCAAAAATAAAAACTACCAATCACACAAAAAATGACATAACTATGAATCTAAATACTTAAGTAATACAAGTTTATCTTAGAAAGTCTAATTGTTTGATATGCTTAGACACTTTACAAAACTGTGTTAAGTTTTTCTCACAAAAAATGGTATATTTGTTATTCTTAACACTTTTTAATGAAGATACACGAGACTGACAAAAAGTTCAGACACTGTAAAAAATACCTTTCTTGACCATTCATCTTAAGTTTTTTACATTGATATAAAGATGTTAAAATACTGTCAAGGTTTTTACACTGATGTTAAAATACTATCAAGGATTTTTACATTGATGTTAAAATATTATCAAGGTTTTTACATAGATGTTAAAATACTATCAAGGATTTTTACATTGATGTTAAAATATTATCAAGGTTTTTACATAGA